CTCCACTACCGCAGATCAAATTGACACCCTTCCGCTGTGGCACTCAGGTTCCACCTCATTCAGGAACCCAGTCTGCCTGTGCTCACCTCATGAGTTCTAACCTGTGGTTTCCACCTTGGCCAGACAGGTCTGTTGCTGACGGCTACTCTGCTCGCCTCCCCACAACCCCTCTTCATATACATCGTCTCTTCACTACGTTTCTTAAAATGCCTTCTCCCCACCATTCCCAATGGGCCCATGTTTTCGGGGTACCCTCTCGTTCTCCTTACTGACCCCTAATGAACACTGTGCTATTACGCTCACCCTACCAAATAAATCACCTATATGCTATGAGCTCAGGTTGAATTAGGCTGCATGATGAGGTCCACTCCCTAGCCCATGGAATCTGTGAACAGGTAACCTTACATGGCAAAAGAGACTTTGCAGACATGAGTAAATTAAGGCTTTCGAGATGCGAAGGCTGTCCTGGGTTATCTGGATGGGCCCAATGTAACCACAGGGTCCTTATTTTAATTTTGCTTTTAAGATTTATTTATTTATTTGAGAGAGAGTCAGTGAGTGCATGAGCATGGGGAGGGGCAGAGGGAGAGGGAGAGAGAGAATCTCAAGCCGACTCTGCCCTGAGCACAAAGCCTGATCATGACCTGAGTTGAAATCAAGAGTCAGACGCTTAACCAACTGAGCCACCCAGGTGCCCCTTTAACCACTGGGTCTTTATAAGAGAGAAGCAGGAGAGTCCGAGTCAGAGAAGGAGACAGAAGACAAAGTGGTGGTCGGAGAGAAAAGACAGAGAGAGCTTGGAAGATGCACCCTCCTGGCTTTGAAGATGGAGGAAGGGGCCGTAGGCAGGCAGCCTCCAGAATCTGGAAAAGGCAAAGAAACAGGTTCTCCCCTAAAGCTTCTGGAAGGAACGGTAGCCCTGCCTACCTACTTTATATTTCTGAGTTCCAGGACTGTAAGGAAAAAAAAAATGGTTTGTTTTAAGCCACTAAGTTTGTGGTAATTTGTTATAGAAGCCACAGGAAACTAATATAGTCCTTCACTGTATACAACCTTAACCCCCTCTGTCATTTCCTTTACGTGCCTCCTCTCACTGGCTACAGGGTCGGCTCATCGAGCACAAGGACTGGATCTTCTTCTCTGTCTCTATCAGAGTTCAACACGATGTCAGGGTCCAGTCAAGTGCTCCCATCATTAAATCTCCCTGGATTTGTATCAGAAACCAACAGAGCCGATTAAGGACTGGTGGGCAGTCAAAGAGCAATGCATGGGGTCTTGGGGATGCCGCGGACTGTCCAGAGCAGCAGGCAGTTCATGTGAGCATCGAGGAGGGGAGGAACAGTGCCCCGCTCTGAGGCATGGGCACCGCTGAGCCCCTCACCTGCTACAGGACCTTTACTGCCCTGTCCCCCCAGCCTGCCTCATCACCAGCAGCAGGATGGTGGAATCCGCCATGGTGAAGGCACTCAGCATGCCCATACATACGGATGTATTTTCTGGAAGAGCTGGAAGAGCCAGCCCTCGATTTGAAGAAGGTAAACTTGGTGGTAGGGCACAGAGTAAGCAGGCAAGGGGAAGATGTCACACAGCATTTAGGGATAGCTGTGCTTCAGTGGTCAGGCTCTTTTTTAAACCTCAGGATTGAAGACAACATGAACCCAGGAGAGCACCGCCTGCCCATTTCGTTTTGCAGGGCCTGACACCGACCCCTTCCAAAGGAGCTTTTCGAGGCACTGCTGGCAGCGGACTTGGAATCGAGTAACACAGCCATGGGAGCTATGGAAGCCTGTGGTACCAGAGCTTTGCAAATAAGTTACTCTTGGCTTCCCTAGGAAAAACTGAAGGCTGTCCAAAGATCAAGCAATTGAATGGTGAGGAGATAAATAACCTTTGCTTCTCCATTTTTCCATGACCAACCTTGTGCCTGGCATTTTCCCCTCTTCTCTAGTTTCAAAATGCTCTCTCTTGAACACACCCTGTGTTTATTGCCTGTCTCCATATATTTTTAGTTAATGTTTCATGAGAATATCTATCAGTGGATTTCCCACTGCAGGTTTACCCTCACACTTGAGCTCATAGGTAAAGAGAAACACAAGAGATGAGAGATGTGCCTGGCAGAGGTTAGCAAGTGGAAATTTGAAACCCATGGGTTGTTTTTCAAGTTCTGTTAGTGCTTACTACAAGCATAAGTTCTGACAACAAATAGCACTGGACCTCTCTTATTTTTTATTTTTATTTATTTATTTTTAAAGATTATATTTATTTATTTGACAGACAGAGACCACAGGTAGGCAGAGAGGCAGGCAGTGAGAGAGGGAGGAAGCAGGCTCCCTGCTGAGCAGAGAGTCCAATGAGGGACTTGATCCCAGGACCCTGAGGTCATGACCTGAGCCGAAGGTCGAGGCTTAACCCACTGAGCCACCCAGGCACCCCTTATTTTTTATTTTTTTTAAAGATTTTCCTTTGGGGCGCCTGGGTGGCTCAGTGGGTTAAAGCCTCTGCCTTTGGCCCAGGTCATGATCCCAGGGTCCTGGGATGGAATCCCACATCGGGCTCTCTGCTCAGCTGGAAGCCTGCTTCCTCCTCTCTCTCTGCCTGCCTCTCTGCCTACTTGTGATCTCTGTCTGTCAAATAAATAAATCTTAAAAAAAAAAAAAAAAAGATTTTCCTTTAAGTAATCTCTACACCCAACAGGGGGCTCGAACTTACAACCCTGAGATGAAAAGTTGCTTGCTCTACCGACTGAGTCAGCCAGGTGCCCCAGCACTAGGCCTCTTTTAATCAGAGGTCCTCCCTTGCAACTACAGATATGGACCCTGAAAGACTATTAACCAAAACTATCCCAAATGTTTCTCTTCGACTTAATACCATACACACACACACACACACACACCCCATATATACAATATATGCCATGTGTTATACATAACATATATCTTTCCTATAATATAGTTATTAAAATTACAGTTATACATTATATAGTTATTAAAACCATTTCTTCAATATAGATTTAAGAAATATAACAATTGCCATGTTGAATTTAGCTCACAGGTGGTAATTTGAGAGAACAGATGACTTAAGATGCTATTTCCACATTTGGAGCGATTTGATTTTGGTCTGTGATAATGGCACTGTGCTTGTATAGAAGAATGTCCTTGTCCTTAGGAGATAAGAGGCTAAGGTATTTAGGAGGAAAGTCAGTTGGCAACTGACTCTCAAATGAATCTTGGCAAAAGGCAGGTTGGTATTCACCGACTACTCCAAGTTTTCTTTAGATTGGAAATTTTTTTAAAAGGTGTTAGAAGAAAAAGATATTTTTTGCTATGATTGTTCAACAAAAGCTGACTTCCTCCCCAGTGAAACAGAGCATAAGTATAAAAACACTAGAAATTCTCTAAAATCTTGATTAAAATTCATTGCCAAAATCAGAATCTTTTTGCACAGAATCTTACGACTAAACCCAAAACGTTTATCTTTACTCCAAGAAGTGAGTTCATATATACTCAATACTGGTGAATACCAAAGTCACAGAATCTGTAATAAAAGCAAGAATAACTTATACAAGGACACTGAAGGCACATGGAATGATAAATGCTCAAGACTGGTGGGAAGTTTTTAAGAAACTGTAAGATTTCACATCTGTTCTCCAACGTAAATAAGGCCCTAGAAGATGAGAACTGAAAAGTGTCAGAGGAAAATATAGTCCAATAGTACAACGCTCAATTTATACACGATATAATGAAGGGTCAGAGAAAATTATACAAGTGTGGAAGCATGCAAGTATTTAAAAAGCTTATAAGAGCTCTTAAAGTCAATCTGGAAACCTTTACTGTGAATTACATCAGTATTAGATTAATGTCCCCTGGAAATGTCCTTGTTCTTCCATGGAACTCTTTCCAGTAGAAATAAATTTAGTCTCCACCTTTAAGTCCTGGCAGTTCCACAAGTCTGAAGTATTTCCAGCCAAATAAAAGTAAGTCAAGCGCTTTCACAAGTTTTTAGAATGATTAGCAAAATATATTTGGGGAGGAGGGGAGTTGTATACCTGAAACTAATACAAAATCGTGTGTCAACTATACCTCAATAAAAAATATATACACACATATATGTGGTAAGGAAAGGGGTAATGAGAAATAAAAAGCAGATATGTGAATAACAAATACTGGAAAAGCTGAAAAATTACTATGCTACTTGGTAAACTTGCTTTGCTAAATAAAACCAAAAATTATTGTATATCTTCTCCCCACTTATTAAGCCTGCTTCTCAGCGATACTTCTGTTCATTCATTCAATTATTCAAATATTTAAGCACCTAATCTGCACAAAACATCAGAGGGACTTCAACGGCCGTACTGCAATTTATTTTTATTTATTTATTTATAAAGATTTTATTTGACAGAGAGAGACACAGCGAGAGAGGGAACACAAGCAGGGGGAGTGGGAGAGGGAGAAGCAGACTTCCTGCAGAGCAGGGAGCCCGACGACAACAACACAGGGCTCGATTCCAGGACCCTGGGATCATGACCTGAGCCGAAGGCAGATGCTTAATGACTGAGCCACCCAGACACCCGCTGTACTGCAACTTCTTAAACTATACGGTATTGACCATCCATTACAGCATTTTTTTTTTCTGGATGTGAAGAAAATTATTGTTTCAAGCCTAAATATGCACTAAACTGAAAAATAACCAACCCTCCATAGTCAAGCTTTCTGAAATGTAAATAGTGAGCAAATATCACATTGCCACATTGGAGGGAAAATACAATGTAAGGGGAAAAAAAATCCAAGTTTACTCTTGGGACTCTGAACCATTAAGCAACTGTTGAAGTGGCCATTTATTGGCTCTTGCCCTTAATTATGAGGTTCATGCAGTCTTAAGCTTGGGTTTCAGAAATTATTAATAATTACCCTTAAATGGCAAACAAAAGGAAAATTTCATAATCAGGGTGGTGTGTCTGTGAAGACTATAAAAGTCACCATTCCACTCAATGCTTCACACTCCTACTTCTTGGTTCTTCTAGGTGCCTCTCAACTGGGCAACCAGGTAAGTGTGATGTTAGTACAACCTCCTGCTCCTTCTGCTTCCTTCCAGAATGGTGTGAAAGATAATAGGAGAAAAAGAGGGTTTGTGCCATCTAAAGATATTACCAGTAATTTAGGAGCTAAAAGCTGTGGTCAGCTTTCTTGCAGACCACAGCCTACAGAGCACAGACCAGGTGCATAAAAAGTGCAGAATGTCACATTTATTAACAAAAGGGTTTGGCTCAAGGGACTATCCCCTCACAGATGGACTCTAAGGTCAGACATTTAACATACTAAGATGATTATTTTTACGACGCCAAGGAAAGAGCCCAAAGGCGTGAAACTGCTGGCAAAATCATCCTGACAAAACTCTGCTTCTTCGGCTTTTTGGTGAGTTCATTTCTTTCCCAATCGACAGGACACCGCGATGAGCAGCAAAACGTCTCCCGAGGAACTGAAGAGCATTTTTGAAAAATACGCAGCCAAAGAAGGTGATCCAGACCAGCTGTCCAAGGAGGAGCTGAAGCTACTGATTCAGACAGAATTCCCCAGTTTACTGAAAGTGAGTGCACCACCCGCCACAGAACCGAGCCCGGCAACTGGGAACTGGGGGCCTACGACGGGGAGGAGGGAAGGGTGGGGAGAGGACGCAGGAGAGGCGGAGGAATGCTTCTTCTGGGGCACAGCACACAGCAGCCAAGGCAAGGGCATTCCTTGGCCAAGAGCCCTTGAACGTGTGTTTTCTTCCCTGGTAGCAGGCCACATCTCAGATGGCAAGGACCTAGAAGGCGGGCGCCAAGCCTTCTATGTCCCACAGCCTGGGCACAGAACTCTCCATGACCAGCCATAGTAAAAGGAAGCAATGATGGCACTTTTAATGAAGCTAGGCCTAGGAGACCCACAGGGCACCAACCCAACACACTAAGGCCTTCCGCCTGGATTCAGCACCTCCGGGTCAGGCTTTTAGGAAAACAAAGAGGTGTGCAAAATAATATTAGCTAGCCTTGACATGCTTCATCCTTATAGGTAGGATGTGTCAAGAAGACCAACACTCACCAGGCGATCTACAGAGAAAACCCACTTTGCGCTGACAAATTACCATCTGGCGACAGCCATTTATATTTCAAAAGCATTTAAATTTGTGTTAATTTGTGTTAAGCACCTAAATCTGTGTTAATGAGGCAGTGAGGCATTTCTAAACAACTTCCAGGAAGGGATTAAACCTCTTTAGCCCGACAGTTTCTCCTCAAAACCGTCCCAGAGTTGTCCAAATCAAAGTGCATCTTGAGGCAATAGAATAGGAGAGAGGCGGGCTGACCCTCCTTGCTCCAATACACTTCCGCTCCTCCGCAAGTAAAAGCCATCTTCCAAATGGACGTGAATGAGCAACTGTTTATCCCACATGATCACTATTTAGCTATAACTTCGGAAGAAAGCATTTGCTTCCCAGATTTTAACCAGAAATGTCCTTCTGCCAGTATGACATGTGAGGGGGTTTCCCATTGTAGTTGTTGAGGTTTCTGGGTTTGGTACCCAGAAAAGTGGCCGAATTCAATGACATTATAACCCAATGTCTCCTCATTTGCTTATGGTTAAAATACAAAATAACTCTAAAAAAGAGTTAAAGGTACTGGCAGAAAAGGAGACCTTAAAAAAAAAAATTGCCTGATTTTTATTTTATTTACTTATTTTTAAGTAAGCCCGATTCCCAACATGGGACTTGAACTCACAACCCTGAGATCAAGAGTCGTGTACTCTACCAAATGGGCCAGCCAGGAGCCCCAGAAAAAGAGACTTTTTAATTAAAAATTAAGACAAAGTTTTCTGAGAAAGATTAGATTCTAAAAAACACTCTGACATTTTTCCAAAAGGAAGAAAAATAATAATAGGAAGGAATAATCATAATAAAAGAAAGAAAAATAATAATCTGACAGGAAAGCCTAGGCAATCTACATAAGCAAGTTGTTTTAAAAGGTAAGACCGGGGAACTTTTCTGTATTTTACTATGGTTTATGTATTTCCTACAAAAAGAAGGCATGACTCTTAGTTTGAATAAAGGTATGAAGACTGATGGTAAATTTTGAAAAATCTACTTACCGAATCATGTACTGGATTATATTTTCATAAGGATTACTAAGGTTTTTCCAAGCTATACTCTTTCCATCAATGCCGTGTATGGTTTAGAACCTCGTAAATGCTTCAGGGAAAGTGAGTAACTATCTTAGTCTGGTCTTCTGATCACAGCAAAGTACAAATGTCTTTAGAGGAATCCTAAGAGCTAAAACGTATCTTGATGTGGAGATCAGTTGTACAACAATGTCAACAGTATCGAAGTGCATTCGTTTGAAAATAGCTGAGATGGTAAATATTACAATTTTTTTTAAATGTTAAAAAAAAAAATGTTCAAACTGACTTGGAAACTAAATCGTTATTTCAGTGAGTTTCCTAGATACTATTTTGCCACAGATAAACTCTCACCTGAAAGGCAGAGCTGTAACGGCTTTAAGACTTGAGTCTTAGGCCAGAGACAAAATTTAAGTCAGCTTAAGACCCTGCAGGTGCAGCAGAGCCAAAACAGAGTCAAGCCTAACAGGATCTCTTGCAACATCTCAAGCGGTAGTTCTCCAAGTGTCACCGGTCCTGGCCCGGCATCATCATCACCACCTGGGAACCTGCTGGGCATACAGAGTCTCAGGCCCCGCCCCAGGCCTAGTGAACCAGAACCTTTGGGAGTGGGACCTGTCACTCTGTATTTCCTAAGGTCAGTAAGCCCATGTGGTGACTCTGCTGAGCGCCAAAGTGTGAGAATCACTGATCCTGTCATCCGGCAGGGTGTAGAGAGGGGCTGCAACACACAGCCTTGGGAAAAACTGGTATGGTTCCTAGTTAAGCGCTTGAGCTCTGGAGTCCATGTTTGAACCTCAAACTCTCTGTCTACTAGCTGTGGGCCCTGGGGCCAGCTGGCAGCTGTCCCGGAGCACAGTTCCCTCCTGTGTAGAGTGGACCCCCTCCCACACACACACAGGGTAGTTGGGAGCACTGAGTGGCTACAGATTGCCCATCGTACCATGCTGCCTCGGGTTCACAGAACCAGGTCCCAGGAAAACCTTGGGGCAAGAATCATCAACTGTTGGTGGGCCAGGGGCTTCTCAGCAGTCCAGTGAAGCCCTCAGATTCCTTCTCCTTTTTTAGATGCATAAAGAAAAATACTTAAGATTACACAGAAAACCAATTACAGTTGACACTTACACAACGTGGATTTGACCTGCATGGGTCCTCTTTTATGTGGATTTTTTACAGTACTATAAATGTATATTTTCTTCCTTATGATTTCCATCATAACACTTTTCTCTAGCTTACTTGATTGTAAGTTATAGTATTTAATACATATAATGTACAAAATCTGTGTTAATCTACTATATATGTCATCAGGAAGGCTTCTAGTCAACAGTAGGCTTTTGGTCATTATGTTTGCGGGAAGGCAAAAGTTATCCTCATATTTTTGACTGCGTGGGGGGGTGGATGCCTGTAACCCCTGCATTGTTCAAGGGCCAACTGTATATTAAAATGCACATTATCAATATTAAAATGATAAATGTATGGGGCACCTGGGTGGCTCAGTCTGTTGGGCGTCTGACTCTTGATTTCGGCTCAGGTCTATCTCAGGGTCCTGGGATCCAACCCCACGTAGGACTCTGTGCTCAGCGGAGAGCCTGCTTCAGATTCTCTCTCTTCCCTCAGCCTATGTCCGTCTCCCCACTTGCCCATGCACACACACACACACACACACACTCTCTCTCTCTCTCAAAATCAATGAAATCTTTTAAAAAAGAGAGAGAGAAATGTGCGATATAGGAAAAACCAGGTAGCCAGTTCAGGGACATGGAGCTCAAGTTGGGCTTCCCACCCCCAACCATCAAGGCATGTAACCAAAACCTCAGCTGCCTTGTTGGAACAGAGACCCGACATCTCTAATTTCAGAAAATGGGTAGCGGTAACTGATTCATTTTCTCTCCTTTCCCCTTTCCCATCCTTCTCATCTAAAACCAGGGTCCCAGCACCCTAGATGACCTCTTTCAAGAACTGGACAAGAATGGAGATGGAGAAGTTAGTTTCGAAGAATTCCAGGTGTTGGTGAAGAAGATATCCCAGTGAAGGAAAAAAACAAAATAATGTATCATCATTCCAAGCACCAGAAGAAGGGTACCTGGGATGTGGCTCCATTCTATACACAATCGCTAATGTCTCTGTTTAATTCTTTGCAATTATAATGATCTGGCACTGAGGTCCAATTACTGTTAATAAAGAAATTCTTAGACTCTCCTTGTCTCTCCTTGCCAAGTACTGACCCCCATGGCTTAATAGATTTGAAAGTAACCTTAGCTTAATGCATTTAATTTTATACCTTTTTTTTTTTTTTAAGAAAGGCTGAGAATAGTTCCATGATCTTCACCAAGACTGGAAAGACAGTGTCAGAGGCTCAGAAACAATTTTGATGTGCCAAACCAATGCCCTTATTCCAGTCTTCCATCAAAATAGCCCTGTTCCTGCTCTCCCTCCCCAGCCACTCAGTGCTCCCATCATTTCCAGTTTCAACTCTAGTCAACAGCTAGTGAGGAACATTGCTTCAAAAAACAGGCACTTGTCTTTAAAGTCACCTCCAGCACTCGCTGTGCTTTTTGAATCAATGACCCTCTTGGGGAGTAGAAGCATCACGGGACCAAGAGTCAGTTCTGCTCCATCAGTGAGGGTGTGGCCTTGGTTCTGGCATGTAATGTGTAAAATAAGGGACAGGAAGACATAGGGCCCTCCCAGTTCTGGCATCCAGTGCTGCTGGGACTCTCAGGATGTGAGAAACAGCTAGCCCTCAAGTTCTACTTCCTGAGCCCAGCTTGGGGGAAGGAGGGAGGGGGAGTGTTGGAGAGGAATTTAACAAAACAAAAACAAAAACTTCTAACAGTACCACCAAGAAATGAAGGAAATTTTTATACACAGCGAGGAAATGTTTAAATGCACTCTGTATCATACTAATTCGATACAAGAGCATTCTTATTGCATCAAAAGCCTTAAACATTTCTAATGACTAATTATACTCCACTGAAGGGATACCCCATAATAGTCTTAACTATTTCCCCATTGCGGGACATTTCGATTGTTGCCATTTCTGATTCTTCTAAATAATGGTATAATGAGTACCTGTTCATATCTCCATCAATATACCACATTTCCTTAGGAGAATTTCTGAGAAGTAAATGTCTGGGTCAGAGGGTATGAGTATTTTTATGGTTTGTGAAAGAGACCACCTTATTGATTCTCTGAAAGATCATATTGATTCAAAAATCTACAAACAGCAGGAGAACGCCATCTGCACTCTCCAGACAGCATTAGTTGGTCTCATTTTAACAACTTTATTGGTCGCAATAGTGTACATCTTTTACTTATTTCTAATTTTAATAGGAATTCCCCACTATTTCCCCATAGAGTTTACTGTCTGCTATTGGTTTATAAAAGGTAAACTTTCTCGTGCTTAAGAAGTCCCCTTCTAGGGGCGTCTGGGTGGCTCAGTGGGTTAAGCCTCTGCCTTCGGCTCAGGTCATGATCTCAGGGTCGTGGGATCGAGCCCTGCATCAGGCTCTCTGCTCAGCATGGAGCCTACTTCCCCCTCTCTCTGCCTGCCTCTCTGACTACTTGTGATCTCTCTCTCTCTCTGTCAAATAAATAAATAAAGTCTTACAAAAAGAAGAAGAAGGAAGAAGGAAGAAGAAGAAGAAGAAGAGGAGGAGGAGGAGGAGGAGGAAGTCGTCCCCTTCTAGGGTGCCTGGGTGGCTCAGTTGTTAAGCATTTGCCTTCAGCCCCGGTTGTGATCCCAGGGTTCTGGGATCGAGTCCTGCATCGGGCTCCCTGCTCCATGGGGAGCCTGCTTCTCCCTCTGCCTCTGCCTCTCTCTCATGAATAAATAAAATCTTTTTAAAAAGTCCCCTTCTCCAGGCTCCTGGGTGGCTCATGGGTTAAGCATCTAATTCTTGTTTTCCGCTCAGGTCATGATCTCAGGGTCATGAGAGAGAGCCCCACATTGAGCTCCGTACTCAGCAGAGTCAAGTTGTCCCTCTCCCTCTGCTCCTTCTCATTCATGCTCTTTCTCTCTCAAATACATAAATACAAATCTTTTTTTTTTTTTTAAGTTGTAAAAAAGGTAGCAGGTTTTATTTTTTTCAACAGTAGAGAACAAATGTAGTTAAATAATTAGGGCAAGAATGGGTAGCGAGCTAATTAAAATTGTACCTTAACTGAAAAGAAAATTTTTAAATTTCCCCTTTCAAAAAATTGTTTTACATAAATACTGAAATTATTACATATTTTTAATATTAATATTTTAGGATTTCAACATAGCTAGTAATTGAGGAGCTCAGGTTTAGATACCGGTTCTGATTCCAAAGTATTTCTTCTAGTCTCTCATATCCATCTCAGTTTAATAAGTTCAGGAACATCATGCTATAATCTCTCTCAAGAACAAGAAATCTGCCAAAATTATGAAGTAACTAGAAATCCTTTTTAACTAAAAGTCAAGGACTATCCAAAACATAAATACAAATCTTAAAAAAAAAGAACTCCCTTTCTCTTCCTAGTTTGTTATGAGACTGAGGAGGGTTTAGGTTCTATAGATTGCCACTGAGCATCTGTGGTGATATGGGGGTTCTTTCTTTTGTCTGATCAATATAATGTGCCAATCGATTCAATCCCCAGGACAAACACACTATCCAGTCATGATTTAGTATTCTTTAATGCTATTAAATTAGCTACTCTAATATTTTATTTAAGATTTTTACACCTTTGGGGTGCCTGGGTGGCTCAGTTGGTTAAGCATCTGCCTTCAACTCAGGTCACGATCCCAGGGTCCTGGGATCAAGCCCCGCATTGGGCTCTCTGCTCAGTGGGGGGCCTGCTTCCTCCTCTCTCTGCCTGCTGGTCCACCCCTGCTTGTGCTTTCTCCCTCTCTGTTAAAGAAACAAATAAAATCTTTTTTAAAAATTTAAGATTTTTACATCTTTATCAATAACCAACATTAATCTATAGTTTTGGGTTTTATCTTTTGTTTGCCGATGTTTGCAGAGTTCTAATATCTAGGTCATGCTAGCTTTCCATTTTAGCCTAGATTCTGGCATTCGGTTGGTCCCTCAAAGTATAAATATGTGTTATCTCTTTCAACTGCACCATGTATGAAGCAACTACTATGGGCAAGGCATTACACAAGATGCCATAAAAGACAGAAGTTACTAGACCTCTGAGATCCTAAGTCGGCAAGTCTGGGATCAGGTCAGGAAAAGGCTTAATTGTGAAAGTAGTATTTCCCACTGGGATTATTAGGAAGAGCCTTGAGGGGAACCTGCAGGGAACGAGTGGCACTGAGCTATATAAGAGAGAGAAAACACAGGGCGCCTGGCTGGCTCAGTCAGAAGAACATGTGACTCTGATCTCTGGGTCATGAGTTTAAGCCCCATGTTGGGTATAAAGAGTACTTAAATAAATATTTTTTAAAAAGAGAGAGAGAGGGGCGCCTGGGTGGCTCAGTGGGTTAAGCTGCTGCCTTCAGCTCAGGTCATGATCCCAGGTCCTGGGTTCAAGCCCCACATCGGGCTTTCTGCTCAGCAGGGAGCCTGCTTCCTCCTCTCTCTCTGCCTGCCTCTCTGCCTACTTGTGATTTCTCTCTGTCAAATAAATAAATAAAATCTTAAAAAAAAAATTAAAAAAAAAAAAAAGAGAGAGAGAGAAAACACCCCGAGTAAATATATGTGTAAGTACAAGGCAGCGCAGAAATACACATACTACAGTTTGGGTGGAAAGCCAGCTACAGGGAATATAGAGGGCACACTGGCTTCCGATCATGAAAGTCCTTGGTTGCCACGATAAACCAAGGTCAGAAAGGGAGTAGAAAGGTGTAGGAGTCATAAAGTGATGTGACTGGGCTTCGAAAAGTTGAGGTGGCACCAATACAGAGGCTGTAAGGTGTGGGGAGTGGTCATAGAGTGGAGGCTAGGGCTAGGCAGGAGGCCTCCGGGGCAAGTGAGGCAAACTGTGAAGGCCTCAAAGAAATGGTGGCAATGCAGAGGACACACATGGGAGAGATACCTTCTCCGCCTGGGTTAAGATTTACTGACTTGGACAAATTATCATGTGAGGACCTTCAGGAAAGGCGAAAACGTATGGAGAGATGTATGTAATGTGGGTGTAGTATGTACATGTCAACTTCGTTGGCGTTCTTGGCCTACTTTCCAACATTCATCTCGTCTCCCACATCCAGCAAGATTTGCCTGAATTTCCTCTTGAATCAACAGTACCAGCCCTATTTGCTAAATGAATGATTCTTGACTATCTAGTCACTAAATCTTGTTGATTCATTCCATACAGCTGCTCTGCCAGGCAGATTTTTCTACTCTTTTTTTTTTTTTTAAGATTTTACTTATTTATTTCACAGACAGATCACAAGTAGGCAGAGAGGCAGGCACAGAGAGAGGAAGGGAAGCAGGCTCCCTGCTGAGCAGAGAGCCTGACGTGGGGCTTGATCCCAGGACCCTGAGATCATGACCTGAGCCACCCACATGTCCCCAGATCTTTCTACTCTTAACTCCTGCTCTGACCCAGCTCCTGAGATCGCAGACTGAGGCTGCCTTAAGACTCAACCAAGTGCTGTGCCCAGAGTCTTTCTTCCCTCTCATCTCTCTCGATCCCATGCCAGCTGAATCTGCCTAAAGCACCCATTCTATTCAGAAGTCTTCAGCAATGAGTATGATATTTGCATAATATGTCACAGTTGACAGGTATTATCTCATTGATTCCCTCGGGCCTTCAGGATCAATTTTGACACTGATACTCAAGGATCCCCACAAATCCGTACCAGCCTCCCTTATTTCCCTCCACTTCCCTACAGAAGCCGCCTGCTTCAGCCAAGCCCCTAGGTATTTTATGAGCAAATCGTGGACATTCCAACCTAGCCAATGCCTCCTCTCCTCTCTACGAAGTCTCCGAGCCTTTGCCAACCTTCCCTTCTTACTCTAACCCTTACTCTAATTCTTTTCCAGATTCTGGATTCTTAAGTATCTAAGGGTCTACCTGTGCTGGGCAATACTGTGGCGGTTATGGACATTTAAATCAATTAA